CAAACAATACTATATGTATGCAACAATTTATTTATAAATTGTTCTCAGTTTGACCTAGGTTTGACCTAGCGTCTACATGCTTCACTCATTGCAGGAAAAATTTTAAAAAGTTCGTATTTTTGGCTTCTCCAAAAACCCGGGTTGTTACAGGTGCAGATGGAACTCTCCTAAGGATCCTTGGCGTCGGTTTAGGCTAAAGCGGGTTGATCAAGTGGATGACACCTAGTTTAGCTAGGCTGAGACACCGGACCCTCACATGAAGGGCACAAAGATAGTTTGAAAAGTAAAAAAGAACAAGATGATAGAAACTCTTCGCTCTTTAATATTAAGGTAAAGATATAGATATAGATATAGATATAGATATAGATATAGATATAGATATAGATATAGATATAGCAACCTACACTACGGAGTAAGCTTTTATGTTTTTATTGGTGGTTAGTTTTCATTTGTCTGTTGTGTGTTTGGACTTCAAATTTTTATCATTAATGAAATATTGGGGCAATATAAATTGGCAGGTTTTCTTATTTGAGAACTATAATTATTATTGGTTATATGAGTGTTGGTGAAACAATCACACAAGCATTAGAGAGTGGATTTAACTCTATTGGATAATATTTTCATGTCTGACAAAAGTACATGTCAGGGAGTATTTATAGGGGGTGGAGTCTTTGGTAATCCTATTACTATCCCCATTTTACCAATGAATCTGCCATTACATCAAAAGGGCAGTCTAGCCATTACATAGTCGGACCAGTATTTCTACTTCGTCCATCAGGCTTCGTAGGATGAGCTGGGTCTTTGGCATGAGTCTTTATGGGCCTGACCCATGCTGTCTTTGTTTTGCTCACCCTTGGCTTTGCTTCTCTGCGAGGTGGCCCGATCACCTTCGGCCCTTTGTTGTTGACTTTATCTTTTCACCTTTGGCTCTACTCTTTATACATCACCAAAGGGCTCTGAAGGTTCTTCCTTGTTTATTAATCATGAAGTCTCTCGTGAACAAGAAAGACAATTTGCGGTACATTAGTTAAAAACTTGTTAACTGGCTTCGGGGGAAGCGATATTCGAGGTTGAAAGCCCAACAATGAGTAAATATGATTTTTTTCATTTCACACCGCTGGCGGATAGGGCTCACTTATCATCGTAAGCCTACTTATTTAATTTTGCTTCTCTACTGCCTTTATCCATTCACTCAGTCCCCTTCTCTATTCTCTTCTTTCCTAGATAGTTCTAGTACCTTTCTTTCGCAACAAACAAAAACAACCGCAGATTGAGTCTCTCTCTTTCATAACTCCTACCATAAGCAGATAGTAGAAGAAGAAATATGGGCATGTTGGCCTATGTCTCATTGCTATCGCTTAGGGGCGCTAGGAGACGCCACTGTTGATCCACCGCCAGTTACGCCTACTCATGCGCGAAAGGGGAACTTCGCCTGCTTGTGCGCTAGCCCATGGATGCTAAGTTTGGGGAGAGCAAGGTTGGTAGATCCTCCACTACCCAATGCAAATGGCATGTCGTCATAGCTACATGGTAGGAAGCTCCACATCTTTCCCCTTCTCTAGTTTCCTTCTCGCTTCTCTCTCTTTCTTAGAAACATAGTGTGGCAAGGTCAAAGGCTTAGGCGAAGGGGTCCTAATGGTTTGATGGGCTTTGTCCATGTCGAACCGAGAAGTCATGGAGGGAAGGGTTCGTCCTGTTGAGGGTCCTCTTGCCTCGCCAGTGTCAATGGCAGAGCTAGGATTTCAACCTTGGGTACTCCCTTGCTTGCTTGTGCTTGTTGGGCTACCGCTTAATTGCTGCCTCCAACCTCATCACCATCGCACATCGCTGGCCACCACGTAGGCACAGCCTAGTCATAGAGGCCGCTGCTCGCGCTGCACGCCCGCCAAGAGCCCGAGACGCCGGCAATGCTGCCACCACGTCATGCCTGGTCGGCTAGGATCAGAGATTTAGGAATGGGGATTAGGGAATTGTCTCGCACTCGTGACTCGCTCACTCGCACTAGAGAATACTTTATTATACATTTATATATGCTAGCAAACATGTCCATGCGTTGCAACAGAACATACACCATATTGCATGGTCACTTGAAGAGTTCTAATGTGTATTGGATTTGGACTCTGTACTATCGTTGGGCACCCGAATGCTAATGGTTCTAACTCATATGATGAGCATGCACTAGTTCAAAAATGATTTTTAGAGGTGTCTCCCTTTTCTAACAGAAGCAGTTGTCATAGCACGCCGTCACTAACCTTCGCGGGAGGTACTATAACTATACAACCGTTGCTATAATTCAATTTTTAGGGGTGGTTCCATTAAGAAATCCGCCTCTAAAAATGTATTCATTTTTAGGGGCGGTTCCGTTAAGACAACCGCCTCTGAAAATATTATTTTCAAAAACAGTTGTTTATGACAACCGTCTCTAAAAATGAGTGATTTTAGAGGCGGTTTTATTAAGTCAACCGCCTCTGAAAATCTATTTTGAAGGGCGATTGACTAAGCCAACCGTCCTTAAAAATAGCTACAGCACAAATAAATTCATATCTTTTTTAAATGAAGTCGGATGAAGACAAAAATTTATATCAAAATTGTAGAGCTCGACGAGATCTAAAACTTTATAAGTGATAAAATTTTTGTTTGAGATTATTTAGGGTTACAAATATATAAATTAAGTTTTAGATTTTAAATTTCAAATTTTTAAATTTTTCAAATGACCTTGGATGGAGAAATGTTCTATATCAAAGTTGTAGTACTCGACGAGATCTAAAACTTTGTGGTTGAAAGATTTCTCATTTAAGATTGTTTATGAGTTAAAATACTGATTACAAGATTCGTACATATTAGTACAAATAGACAGCATCGTAGAACTAGACGCAAGTGACTATGTGGTACGGTGGTAAGGGAGGGATCTCGCGAGGGAGAGGTTGTGGGTTCGAATCCTGGGTGTCAGCATTTATTCATAACAAGTGAAAAATAAAACATGTGAGCTGCGGCCGGTCCTCAACCCTCTAAGCTACATTAAAAATATTTTTTCTTATTTTTATTAGACTCTAAATGATTTTTAAAAATTTTGAAAATTATCTTTAGGGACGGTCGACTTAAGACAACCGCCAACCATCTCTAAAAATCGATTGTTTAGGTGGTTTTAAAACCACCTCTGAAAATTACTTATTTTTACAACCGTGGGCATAGTAGCGATTTTTGAACCGTCTCTAAATATCACTTTTGACCGTCTCTAAAAATATTTTTTGTACTAGTGATGTGCCATAAGTCTAGGTCTCTGACGAGATCATGAGTGAGATACACAAGGGCCTTGTGGAAAGTAAAAAAAATAGACGAATGAATCTCTTCTCTATTCTGATATTAAATATATAGGTATATATATATATATATATATGATAGGTGTTGCCTTTAGAAATTCTAAAAGAAAAGAAAATGCACTTGGACTAGATTTCCACAGTGATACATGTTGTGACGTGCATATTCTGATTTGTGTCGGAAAGGAGTTTGGAAGCAAGATATGACTTGGACTTGGATATTTGGTGGAATAACTTTGAGTCAATAGATACGTCAACTGGAAAATAAATAATTAGGTTTTGATTTGCAGAAACAACAAAAAGGGAGAATCGACGTGAAGAAACAACCGAGCGAATGAATACCGGATCCGCCCATAGCCAATGTCCTCCTCCTGCATGTTCCGAGGGTCCTGAAAATCTTTGGTTCTTATATGATCACGGGTTTGCAGCTCCAACCTGTGCCGTGCATGTCAAGGGGTGGCATGCAGCGGTGTACGACATTTGACCTTGAGCGAGTTGGAAGACGAATTTGGATGGTGATGGGCCGAGGGGAGAGAAAAATCGGGGGCTAGGTGCAGATCACAATGGGTACGAGGGGCACCAAACGTAACGGACCACGCGTGGGAGCATTTTGAGAACATAATAAAGGTACAGATTAGAAAAAAATAATGTGGAAACAAAATATATATTTTGAAGAAAAAAAAAGAGAAAGAAAAAACTTTCGGTCCCAGCATGTCCGGGCTGCTATTGGCCCAAAATCTGGCCCGAGGCCTGACTCAGAGACAGCCCAGCCCATCTGCCGCAGCTTGCCTCACTCTTTCGGTTGCTGTCGGCTGTCGCCGCGACGCCGCCGGCAGACTTAGAAGAACGGCAGCCGCCAACCTGCCAGGCGACCTCTGTGATTCTGGTTCTACCGAAGGAGAACAAGGGCAGGCAGCTGCCGTCAAAAGAAGACGAAGAAGGACCGGCAGATTGGATTGATAAACCATCCAAACTTACGGCTGCTTATTTTCTAGCTAAGAAACCCTAGCTAGATGCAGTTTTTTTTTTCGAAGAATTGTTTGTTCTGGGAGATTTCTTGACCTTGTTGATTCTCCCTCCTGGTGCTAACGCATCAAGTAAAATAAGTGCCCTCTCTATTTAGTATTCACCCCAAGATTTGAACTATCTGTACTTTTACGGCTTGGGTTTCTATAACATCTTACATACACCATACTGAATGTAAACATGTGATACATGCTAGTAGTTCACACAGACATAGCAATGAAACAACAGAAAATGCCCTTTTTCCATTGTGGCTCCATGTTTAAACTGTTTGTTCCTAATTGCTCAAAGTTAAATGCTGGTGTCAAGATGAATAAGATAAATAGCAATGGACAATTCTATATTAATATGGTTTCAGTTTTATATTTGAAAAATAACCATTTTCTTGTATCTTTTTCAGACCTACGATAGGCATTGTTGGTTTAGACGTTGGTCATTTTGTAAATCAGAGCTCATCATCAGCGTCTCTTAGTGTGCAGACCATCTTTTAAGGCACATGGTTCTTCAATCTTCATCATCCTTATTTTAACCGTGTTTCTAGGATCACCGCTGTGTTGTCATTTAACACCATCCTATATGCAATGTGTATATATGTGCCTGTTGGTTCGGGTTGGCTGTTGACAAAAGCTAAAAGAAATATTTTTCCAGAGTGCAGACAAGATGGTCAATGCTATCAAGGGGTGGTTCATCTCCTGGTATATTCCCGAGAAAAGCTGATCCATCTTTGTTGTTTTTCTTTTTGTCCTTCTGAAGTTCTTTATAATACACACTCATGTTATTCCTTCTTTTCTTTTTCTCAGTGATGTACCAATGGCACAGTTCATTGTTAATCTGAATGCTTCGATGCCTGCATCAGAGAGGTTCATCGTGCACATGCTTGATCCCACACACATGTTTGTTCAGCCTCATGTGGCAGAGATGATCAGAAGCAAGATAGCTGAGTTCAGGGATCAGAACAGTTATGAGAAGCCTCAGTAAAGCATCACCCTACCCTGCATTTCCGTTGTCGCTCACCATTCAAAGATACCGGCTCATGTATAATTGTTCTGGAATAGATGGATGCTATCCTCCCTCCCCCTCCCCCTCCCCCTCCCCCTCCTCCTCCTCGAGATGATCTATTTGCATATTGCATTATATATGCTGGGAGCCTGTGAATTGTTACGTCCCAAGACTTTAGTGAAGCTTTTATGCATCACTTTGCTTTGTGTTGACTTGTTGATGACAGTATCCAACTGGGGGCAGAATGGCACATAACTACAGTCACCTATCGTGTGGTCAACATGCTAATGTTGAAGATGACAAAATGTAGCTGGAAATTATTCAGTTTCATAAAGAATCTGCTAGTCCAAACTAGAGCTCGTCGTTTCAAAGATATCAAGGGTGTCCACTAAAGCTCTGCACCACTGCTATCATCATCTGAAACACAAACATGTATAGCATGTAGCAGATAAACAAGCCACCTGTAGCCCTAAACCTAACATAGTTGGAGCAGCTTCAAGGAGCAGAACAAGTAGAATAGCATCATCACAAGTGAACAAAGGTCGCAAACTTGTAATGTCTCATTTGCTCAATAAACGAAAACACATGATAAATATAGTATCAAAATCGCAAAGAAAAAAACAAAGAAAAAATGTGAACCAGCAGCTTCGGTGTTCAAAACAGCTCCATAACACTAGTGTCCCATCAGTCTCACGTCTGCACCTATTGATCGAATGCTTACAGCAATGGTTTATCTGTAGCCTAAGTTGCGAGAATCAAGCCTCAGCAGCAGCCTCAGCATTGCGCTTCCTTGCTTCCTCAATGATGCTAAGCTTGATACCCTTGCCCTTGGGAAGAGACACCCACGGTTTCTTGTCCTTACCAATGGTGAACACGTTGCCCATGCGGGTGGCAAACTGGTGGCCCAGGGAATCCTCAACGTGGATGGTCTCGAAGCTGCCCTTATGCTTCTCCCTGCTCTTTATCACCCCAACAGGCCCGGTGTTCCTTCCACCAGTCACCATCACGACGTTCCCAACGTCAAACTTGATGAAGTCCACAATTTTGTTGGTCTCCAGGTCAATCTTGATGGTGTCATTGGCCTTGATTAGGGGGTCTGGGTAGCGGATTGTGCGCCCATCGTAGGTGTTCAGGAAAGGGATGCCCTTCTGCCCAAATTGCACAGACCGCACCTTGCACATCTTGAACTGCACAACAGTTCTCATTAGATAACATTAAGCAAATTTTGAAACAGACTATAGGAGAAATAAGATTTCAGGTAAGAACAAACATGGAGAAACTACACTGGCACAAAGGCACCATATTTGCTCCATTACACAACCATAAGCTTCAGGGAAGCTATTAATTGCAGATAAGAACCTTCCACAGATGAAAATACATACAAATCAGACGTTTTACCACAATTACTTGGTTAAAGAAACAAAATAATCACTTCATTTCATAGGTACAGACAGTGTTTAAAAGGCAACTAGGCGTCCAGGCGAGTGCTGGTCCGCTTGGACGCCTAGGCAGGCGACAAGGCGCCACTGTTTCCCAAGGCGGGCTGGGTACGCCCAGGCGATGCCTTTGAAACATTGCGTACAGAAAAACAGTGACAGCACAAAACCATGAAAAGCAAAGAAGAAGAAAAAAAAACACTTCTATTGGAACCTGTGATGCATTACCTTGGCCTCATCATCCCTGATACTGTGGAGACGGAAGCGCCCCTTGGTATCATAGAGAAGGCGGAAATTCTCCCCAGTCTTCGGAATTGACACAACATCAGAAGGATTCAGGTAAACAATAATTCAATCTGTAACTTGCAATAGCCATGACATTAGACATACACCCAAAACCACATCTGGCACGCAACCTACCCATGAATCCAGATGGATATGTCTTATCAGTCCTGACCTTTCCATCAACCATAACATGTCGCTGCATCAAGATTGAAATGACTTCACGGTAGGTCAGAGCATACTTCAACCTGTTCCTGAGGATGAGGATCAAAGGCAAGCACTCCCTGGCTTTGTGGGGACCAGATGAAGGCTTGGGTGCCTGCTCAACAGAAAAACACGAATGAGCACAGATGAGTATCCGGTAAGTAATTGAACATCATATTACAAGTCTAAGACAAACATACAAATGCTCCACCAAGCTTGTCAAGCATCCAATGCTTCGGAGCATTGAGCCTCTTCAGATGTTTCTTCAAACCCCTCGCCTGTTTAAGTGTTAACAACAGGGAAATTAATAAAACGTTACAAGCCATAAGATGATGTTGAATATAGGCATATAGCTAACACTGATTATATGCATGAACAAAAAATAGCAAAATATACAGCTCGCTAAACAAAGACAAATTGTTTTAAACTCCTTGAACATCTTGAGACATAATGGCCAAAGAAAAAGCAAATAGTATAACCGCAACACTTCTCCAGAAAAAAAACAATTCCTAATACTCCACAACAGAATTGGCTGATACTAGTGGACTAACCAAACACCCAATATATCGCCCTAAAAAACCCAATATGTTGGCCGTAAAACAGAACATTAGCTTCAAAAATACAATGGTCCAGTAAGGGAGGTTCGAAGTCATTTAATTTATTGTGCACCATGTTGGCCCTGGGCAGCACGAACTGCACTCACACGCTCACACACGAGAGGAGACGGAGGTGGAAGATGAACAGTGGACGCGAGTTTTGCTGGCGACGAACGCCCCGGCCGCCGGACGGCCTGTATGTTGGCTTTATTAACTGGAAGATACACAACTCGACGCTCCTGAACTAAACAGGATACACGGCTAAATAGCCTTGCCCACATGCACACGGGAGCCACTACTGCCCGGGTCTCATGCGTGCTCGCACGTTCCACAGCTTCCGAGCCACACACTCATATGCTGCACGTACGCCGCATGAAACGGTCCTCTGACCAAGCCACGCCTCCAAACGTGCCTGGCTAACATGCAGTGGCTAATACTACTCAACCGTATACTCAACACATGCAAGTCCTAGAGACTAGCTAACAACCTGTTGTGCAACACACGCACGCTCTAACTTGCTAACTAGCCTAATCTACATGCAAATGACTCTTGAATCCTCCACGAGAACACATCTCGTTTTGGATGACACAGACTACGTACATGACACACATGTACATGGCCTATATGCAATAACTCAAATAACCAAGTCATGATTATTCCTAACACACCATCTGTCATTCATACCCTGAAATTGACAATCAAATTATATTTTGTAAAACAAAAGCTTACCCTACCATTTTGTTTCTCTACAGCTCCATCATGATTCGAAAGACAACAGAAATGCCGGTAACAGAGTCCGATCACACCTAGACTAATCACTGCTCGACCAGTAACATAATTCAACTAAAACGAGAAAAATAGCTAGATTAAAAGAAAAAAAAATATTGCCATCTCATCATAAGATGCATTAAAACACAGGAAGCAATCTCCTCTATATATCAAACTCGCCATGATACATCAAACATATATAGATCCAATCTGAATGGACCTCTGTCTACAAGGCAAATATAAGCCAAACGCGTGACCTAATAAACGCTAAACAAACGATGAATCAAGAACAGGTAATCATAAGAGGCAACGGACAATACAATGCACATATTCCTAAGGTTACCCGGACTCTCGCTGAATCGAATCAAGAACCGATCATATAGTAAACGGTGAACCGAAGGGGAGAACTACTGCCCGAAAAATCAGAGACAAAAATCGATGGAAACAACTAGAGAACATAGCGTAGAACGCAAAGGCTTCAGGAATCTTACCATCTTGCTCGGTGCCTAGGGTTCCTTCGCGCGCACGAGCGGACGAGAGATGGCGGCGGCGGCGAGCTCGCTGCGCGGGTGTGCGAAGGTGCTAAATGCGACGGCGGAGTCGGAATGAGACCTCTTTATTGCCCGAGCTGGTGCTAGTGGCCGTGGGATGTGGTGTTAACGGCGCAGATCTGTGTTGTGGAGTTTTGGGGCTTGGTTGGAGCGGGCGTGCGGATGGGTTAGCCAAATTATACGGGCCAAGAAGGCCGACAAGGCCCACGTGTACCATGTGGTTTCTTTTTTTCTTTTCATTCTTCTAATCCTCAACCTCAAATTCCTGCTCTCTCAGAAAACAAAAAAAAAATCCTCAACGCCTCTTTATTACTCCATCTATTTTAAATTATAAGACGTTTTAATTTTTCCACATACAGAATGTTTACTATATACTTGGATATACACTATATAAATAGTTAAAACAATGTATCTACAAAAGCTAAAACGTCTTATAATTTGGAATAGTGGGAGTATTATTCATTAGTAAAGAAAAGAAAGAATGAATTTATTCCATCCATATGCAGTAAACAGTTTACAAACCCTGACATGTTAAGCAGTATATGAACAGATTTCTCATATGGAGAAAGCTTTATTAATAAAGTCCTAGCCTCTGCAACAAGTCAAAACATTTAGCTAGTACAAAATAATACAAGGAAAATAAATCAAAAGAATAAAAAAGGTGAAAGTTAATGTCAACTAAGCAACATTGAATCTCAAACTCAAGAAAGAACTCAAAACCATCTTTCAATCCTGGAGTCCAACTAAGAAAAAGGCTACTTAATTTGATGCAATAGCACATGCACCAAAAATGACAATGTCAAACTTCATTGTCCTACAAAAACAATGCATACACATAGCATCTAAAGCATCTCATGTCTCTAAACTCTATCGATTCTCTAGACCAATCAGTTAACAATACTTGAATAGGGTGATTGGTTAAAGGAATGACCTCTAGAACGTGGTGTATCATATAAGCCCATCTCATGAATTTTGGTGGAACCCCCACATTCCTCATGCATATATTTTACCGATTAATATCTTTGTGTGGATGAGGTAATGACGGATCGACCTATTTCATTTCACGATCCAAATGAAATAAAGAGAAGTGATAAGTTGATCCTCAAACAAAACACACCCACCCACAAAACGATGTTATATTA